CTGCACCATAAGATTAACCAATTTTTGACCATGTTTGACCACCCCTTAATTTTTTTTAACACCCCTTAAAATAATTTAAAGGGGGTAAATTATAGAAAAACAAGAGTTCTAGGATGAATATCAACTTTGAAAGATAGATCAATGGTCAGAAAGGCACAATAGGACATAATAAATATCCATACAGGTTTAAAATTATGTTTTGACATTTGACCCCCCTTTAAAATAATTTTAGTGTGCCCAAGTAGTGTGAAAATTCAAAAAATAAAATTTGGAATTCGAATTTCGGTTTGGACAAAATGGTCAAATGACATAAATGCGTAATTAGTCACCATAATGGTTTAGAATTAAGTTTTGATGTTTGACCACCCCCTAAAATAGTTTTAGTGTTTCTAAGAAATGTGAAAATTTGAAAAATAACAATTCTAAATTTGACCATTTTTTCGAAGTGGAAATTCGATTTCCTAATTTTATTTTTCGAATTTTCACACTACTTGGGAACATTAAAATTATTTTAGGGAGTGGTCAAACGTCAAAACATAATTCTTAATCGTTTTGAGTCTTTGTTGTAAACTTATGTCCTTTGAATTTTTTTTCTAAGCCGAAATTCGATTACCAAATTTTATTTTTACAATTTTCACACTACTTGGAATCATTAAAATTATTTTAGGGGATGGTCAAACGTCAAAACATAATTCTAAATAGTAATGGATCTTATTTTAAACTTATGTTGTTTGACCATTTTTTCCAAGTGGAAATTCGATTTCCAAATTTTATTTTTCGAATTTTCATACTACTTGGGCACACTAAAATTATTTTAGGGGGTGGTCAAACGTCAAAACATAATTGTTAATCGTTTTTAGTCTTTATTGTAAACTTATGTCGTTTGACCATTTTTTCCAAGTGGAAATTCGATTTACAAATTTTATTTTTCGAATTTTCATACTACTTGGGCACATTAAAATTATTTTAGAGGGTGGTCAAACGTCAAAACATAATTTTAAACATTTATGGATATTTATTATGTCCTATTGTGACTTTCTGACTATTGATCTATCTTTCAAAGTTGAAATTCATCCTAGAACTCATGGGCGTCGTTTGGGGAGGGGGGGGGCAAGGGGGGGGGGGCAGTTGCCCCCCCCTGGCTTTTAGCGACTTAATCAACAACGCGTAAGATATGCATTACGAACAACAATCTCATATAGAAATAATAATATTCAGGCTAATATAGTTGAAGAATATTGTAGGTTGAATATATTTATTGCATATCTGGATTCTCTTATTACGTCGCTTACATTACGCTTTTCCGAAGACTCTGTTAGTTGTTCCTTAAGCCATCCCAAAATCATAAAAACAATACTTTTTTCACTACTGTTTAGAAAATGAAAGTAGTGGAAAAAGTTTGAATTGACAATTTTGAAGCTGAATACCAAACTGGAGTACGAAAGAGCTTTCTGCACACAATGAGCTCTCCATTAATGATATAGCATCCAAACATTGTGAATTTTATCCAGACATACAAAGTGCTTTAAAAAATATTTATGGCTCTTCCACCAACGACAGAGTTCATCGAAAGAACTTTTAGCACGCTAAGGCATGTTAAAACATGGCTGCGATCTATTCGATCAGTGAGAAGTCATGGTAGGGAAAGCAAAAGCGATAGTAGCGCAAGCTGCGGATAATTCGAGTACTTTAGGGCGATATTTTGTAATTTTGGCGTATCAAATACACGTATACAGTTTACTTTTTACTAAAAAATAGGTTAAAAACAATAAAATGAGCAACCGGAGTTGCTATGTTGCAAATTGTACTAACAAAAAACTGTAAATTATATAAATTTTCAGTAACAAAATCGAAATTAAATCAAAAAAATAAATACACAGCTATATAATAAGAAGAAAAAAACCTTTATTTTTGTAATAACAGTAATACTGGAAATAATAGACATCAGAAAAGGTTTTAAATAAACAATAAATTATTATTTTATGATATTCTTCAACATCCCTTAAGTATTAAATGTTTAGCAAATGATTAGATTTTTGCCTTTAATTATTGTATATGGCTAAAATGCAATCTTGTGACTTATTGATAGGAAACCAGTTTTAATCATTAATTTCTATGGGTTCTTTCGAACTAAAAATAAAGAAAATATAAATTACAATCGCAAATATACCAATTATTTTTGTTAATACGTTTTAATTCTACGTTGTTATATAATAGTAGTGTTTTTATTTTGACATTATTTAACCTATTCTTCAATGACAACTTATTAGGCTTAGGCAAGATCTCATACATTATCTCGTAAATACTTACCTATGTTTAATTATTGATTTTTATTGATTATAATACTTTTTTTAGCTGAAGTAATAAAAATATATAATAATAATATTAATAATTTTTTCACTTGTTTTATAAATCCATATACTTTTATTTTGTCATTTTTTGTTGGGTTAATTTATTTATTAGAGACTTGTTATGACAACTTAAGCATCAGTTCTGTCAAATAGGTCAGTGGCATTGTTAGGATTACTAACCACTACAGTTCCACTCCCCCATAGCTTCGCTATTCAGTGAGATATCAGATTAATTTTGTTCTGTTTGAAAGACTTTCTTATGATGGATTCAATTGTTCTGTGACGTCATGGCTTACTTCCGATTTTTCCAAAAATAACAGATTTTTTTTTATTTTCTAAAGGAAACCCTCTTTTATTGTAAATTTAAATTTCTGGGACATTTTTGTATAATAATCGTGTATTGACAATTTTCTGTCAGCTGTCAAAATGGTTGCCATATTGGATAATATTTTTTCTAAATATGTTACTATTAATTCGTTTATGGAAAAACATATAGGAATGTACGAACTTTATAAAATCTTTTAAAGCTTCAAAATTCCCATTGAGACCCATTTACCGTATACCAGTGGCGTATCTAAGCATTTTTATTATTAGCAAACCGTTTAATAATTTATCCGCTTTTATCTTCGTTATTAATTGAGATATCGGAATGAAAACTTATTTGTTTAAAAGCTTCGGACAAATACTCTCATGTACTGGATTCAATTGGTGTGTGACTTCATAGCTTACTTCTGTTTTATCGGAAATAACAAAATCTCAATTTATTTTTAATTTTTAAATAGAAACCTCCGTTTTTATTGAACATTTGAATGTTATAATCATGTGTTGAAAATTTTTTGTCAGCTGTCAAAATGATCATCATATTGGAACATATTTTTTTTAATATGTTAGTGAGACAATTTTCAATACACGCTTCTTATACAAAAATACCCCAGAAATTCAAATTTTCAATAAGAAAAAGGGGTTTCATTAAAAAATAAAAAAATTAATTGCGATTTTCTATTATTTCTGGAAAAACCGGAAGTAAGCCATGACGTCACAGAATAATTAAATCCATCATAAGAAAATTCTCTTTTATGTTTCATTTTCTTTGTTTTCCAATAAATAAACATACTAATTTTTTTCAAAATTTTGCCCCCCCTATAGAATTGTGTAACGACGCTCATGCCTAGAACTCTTATTTTTCTATAATTTACCCCCTAAAATTATTTTAAGGGTTGTTGAAAAAAATCTAAGGGGTGGTCAAACATGGTCAAAAATTGTTTAATCTTATGGTGCAGTCAGTTTTAAAAAATATTAACTTCGGGGGGCCAGCGGGCGCTCGGCCATTAATATTTTTTGAAATATTTAGGTCAAAAAAAGTTAGTGGGTGGTCAAACATGGTCAATAGGTGGTCAAACGTATGCCGCTTCTAAAACTAAAATTTTTGAATTTCGGGCGGCCAGCTTCACAGAGCTTTCTTCAGGGCCTTCTCAGTTGCGCTAATATTGTGATGGGCATAATACAATAAGGTAGCCATGGTTGTGGCAAATCACTTGGCCCCTGGAACATGTTTTACTGCTTTAAAATCGAAAGTTACCCTTTTAATAAGTTGGGTTAAGATTTCTCAAATCACGGAAAATAATTGTTTTCCTGGAAATAAGAACATGAAATTGATAGAATTATATGTGAAGGTTATCAACTTACCGTTTATAAGCTTTGGATGTGTCAATTAATTAAATTATATCTACTTCAAGAACCAGAGTTTGAGTAGGCAGCAGGGTTAAAATTCTTTAAATCGAAGTCAAATAAATATTTTCCTGAAAAGAAAAAAAAATTATGGAATCGATAGAGAAACATATAAACCTTACCATCCATATGTTCTAATATGTTAAATAATTAAATTGCTTCCATTTTCAAAATTAGGCTTTCATAATTTCAATGACCACTGTGTTATTCTCATCGAGATAGAATAAAGTAGAGATGACATAGACACTATTTTTCAATATGACAGATGGACGCACTTCAAGTGACGGAAACATGTAATGAAAATGGCGACTTGAGTCGAATTTTGATTTATTTGAAGTCAATGATTTTATATTTGAAGACTAACGAAATGAAAATGATTTTATATCATCAAAATAAGGCTATTTACATAAAATGGCATTAATTCTCACCAAAATTGACTAGCTCCACTATTTTGAGTTTGACATATGACGTAAAAATGTAATGCAAAGGTGCGTTCACTTTAGCATTGTAATAGTATCTCCTCTTTATTCTATCTCAATGGTTATTCTTATGGACAATAATGACAGTTAACGGTTTGGTTCCTTTATTGGCATCCAGTGCTATGATCCTTCTCAACCTGTGACGCGCACTAAACACGCGTATTCTATCCGATATCTTTGGTTCTAACACTTCGTCAAACATTACATTTGAATTTTCTGCATCAAAGGTTGTGACCAATCACAGCGGAGGGGACGGGACAAAAGTGGAGGGGCTGAACCCAAGTAAGGGTATTCCTACAGACGTCTTTACAATTTACAATTATAATAATATATTTAACTTCCAACTGATGCTCACGTTGTCTGGCCAGATAGTTTGAAGTTTAAAAATAGAAAATCAAAAAATAATTGTTAAATAATAAATAAAATACTATTTTTTTCTTACGTCGGATTTTTTTTTCAGTTTTTCTGCTTCCTTTCGTAATTCCTTCTTCATTTGGGTCACAATGTTTTCGTGTCTCCTTTGCATTCTTATTGCAATTGATTCTTTATAATCGGCGAGATACTTTACAAATCTAAAAACGCAGAATGCAGACAATAAACTACCTTTTATAGTGTGTGGTTTGGGAGATAACAGGGCACATATAATTATTATTGATTGGGAATTTGACGTTTTTAATCTATAATTCAATTAAGCGAGGTTACTTCCTATTAGGCTGAAACCTCACTGTTATCGGTCTAAGGCTTTGGTTATAGTTTATGCGTGTTCTGACGAACTGGCATTCGGACGAACTCATCAGAACATGCCCGAAAAAATCAAATACACAGCAATAAACAGTTGTGGTTATATATTTTTCTTCAGAACCCACACGAAGTCGCTAGAATAAGATATTTTTCAAATCAGTTTAGTTTTTTCGGACCAATTTAAATGAGATATGTGAATTTCAAATATGAATGAAGAAAAATCTATTGATTTATAGAACTATAATACATACATATATTCCATACTATAAAAATTAGTACCTATTGTTTTACATTATTGAATAGGAATTAACGTTTAGTTAATTAAAAATATTAAATTTTTATTAAAGGACTTTCTAAAAACAGATAATCGTCCATGTCATTCAACAAGATATATTGCAACAAAACACGAAACTGGTGAAACTTACAATCAGTTTTTCAGAATGTGCACGTAAAAACACCACTGTTGATCTGGGTATCTATTCTTGAATCTCAGGGAGTAGAAATTTTGAGGGAAGAGTGAGACAAAAATACACATTTTATGCGCTGCAGATAAAGAGGAAAAACCGGTTTTCTATTCCTCGAATTCAAGAATAACTACCCTGAACAACAATTCCGACATTTTCTTCCGAATGTCAGTTCGTCAGAACACGCATCCACTACAACCATACCCTAATAGGCCAGTCAATGAAGACATCCTATTTTGAACATTTCACATATATTAAAACAAATTTCAAACTTTGTAATAACAATCGGCTAGTTTAAATAACACTGAGTTTAAATTTGCAACCATTTCCAAGGTCCGGAACTAGTTAACTTATAGCCAAATGGCGCTTTTGTTTATAATGCAAAAATTGCAAAAGTGCTGGAAACTTGAAGCAATATATATTGTAATATTTTCAACTTTTTTGAAAGTCCGAAACATGATTTTTTTGCTGAAAATAATACTATATATATACAGGGTGTTTCCGAACTTGGCGTCCAAATTTGCAGGGGTGGTAGTTCGCATAATTTGAGGGCGATTGGCAGATTTCATTTTTCTAAAAAAATTATAATAAACAAAATAGAGCCATTATAAAAAAAATTAAAGAGCAGGTCCTACCCTGAGCGCGTAGCGCAATAGTCCTCAAAAACAGATGCGATTTGCAATTTTGTCGATTCTAAACGTAGCGCGCGCGAGTCAAGGCATCCCATCGCTGTGCAGGACCGTACCTGTTTATAATTTTTAAATATTTTTATTTTAAATATTTTGGAAAAATGAAATCTGCGAATCGGTCTCAAATTATGCGAACTACCACCCCTACAAATTATTATATATTTAAATATAATTTACTATTTATTAATAAATATTTATTTATTTAATAGTGGCTAATAAAACAAAGTTCCAATAATAACTAAATTTATTTCCTTTATCCCCGAACAACAGAAGCCACGAAGTGCTTTTTATCCAACTCAATAAAAACCAAATTAATGTACCTATCGGTAGCGTACCATGGGCGTGCCGATAGGGTTTATAGAATATATTACACAAATTTGGACGCCAAGTTCGGAAACACCCTGTATATATAAAAGATGAAAGGATTATTGGGCAAATACCGCAAAAAAAATGAAAAAAATGCCTAAAGGCAAACCGTAAACACGTGTTTCTGACTATTGGTCTTCATCAGTACGGTGTAGTCAAGTTCAAAAGAGAATGGAACTAGCGATGAAATCAAATCAACAGGAGATCACTCAAGAAGCCAACCACACATTTGTGGACTTTGCTAACATTCCCAGTGCTTACTAGGAAAATATTAGCGTCGCCACGGAGGCAGTTATAGCCGCTATGGAGATGCATCCAAGCCCAGGGAGACTTTGCAAAGTCCACAAATGTGTGGTTGGCTTCTTGAGTGATCTCCTGTTGATTTGATTTCATCGCTAGTTCCATTCTCTTTTGAACTTGGGTACACCGTACTGATGAAGACCAATAGTCAGAAACACGTATCTATGGTTTGCCTTTAGGCATTTTTTTCATTTTTTTTGCGGTATTTGCCCAATAATGCTTTTATCTTTTATATTTTTTAACCGCACTAAACCTTCTTCTATATATATATAATTTTGTTTAGAAAGTTATAATAAATTATAATTTTTTGCAATTATTAATATGTTCCGGACCTCAGAAAAGGTTGCAATATTAAATGTACAATTATTTCAATTTAATAAATATTCCGATAAAGTTTGAAAACTTTTGTAATTAATGTGAATTGATTATCTCTAATGAGTAGCCTATAAGGGTCCGTCGATCTAAACGATTTACCGGGAAAGCAGCGGCGTTGCCATTTAATGACAACTTTCTGAGAAATTATCAGTCGTACTTACTACAAATTTCCATAGTGCTGGGGAAAATTCGATGAAAGTGTACTTAAGTGTCTCCCACTACTACTAAAGTAACTATAGCTAAATTATACAAAACTGTGTCTTACTTTTTTACCAAAATAAGAGGATACGCTTGCAGTAACCTCTCCATATTTTTCTTATTGGGATTTTTCTCTATGGCTTTCTCCCACATGGCAGCGGGCATTAAATATTTATCTTCAGGTATCGGTTCCGAAACATCGAAAAACGATTTCGGCATTAACTTTTCTTCTATTTCGTCTAAAAGTTCTTCTCGCTTGGCTACCTTCGATAATAATAAAAAATATTATAATGAAATTAAGAATGTAATTTCTCGTCCATATACTTTATCTCTGCGAATTTTGGTCCTGTCAAATAACAATAGTAAGAGTTCCATTCGTCGGTTACCTGCCGTCATTGACTCATACCGGTTATACTGTTCCTTGTTTTTTAAATCCTTTACCAACTGAGCTAGAAGTCCTTCGAGTGTTTCGTTTTCAGCTGTTTCTTTACCTAGGAAATAGCATTACCATTCAGTACCATATTTCCAAATATTTCTGATAAACTGTAGACTTGACAACAACGCGGATATGAAATTTAAATATTTTATATAATTTTGAAGAATGTTTACCGTCTAATTCGTCTGCTATATGCTGTAGTAATGCGTCGTAAAAGGCCAACACTTTCTCTCTTTCTTTGGGATCTTTTCTTCTAACCAAAATTTTCTCCATTTCGTGGATGGGTACCATTTCTGCAAATTTTTCCTCCAATCGTGCATCAAAAGAACTAAAATAAAGAACCTCAATATAAGATATACATTTTTACTAACAAACTGACTCATTTATAATAGTATGTGTGAGAGAGATAAGGCCATGTCGGACATCTTGAAATAAAAATTAATTATCAAACGTTTGACTAGGGTTACCACCTGTCCCTTTTTGAAAATAACAGTCCTTTTTTTAAACACATTGTCCTTGTGACTTTTTAAACCTTAAAATGTCCTTTTTATTAACTTTATTCCCATATTTTTCAAGATGAAATTATTCGGAAAAGCACCTGCGGCGTGGCCCGCACGCATATTACTATATAACCCACAATATATCCCATATTAATGTCACTGGGATTCAAGGAATGGCTTTGAGTTACGCGCGGCCAGCCCAATGAACTGGAGTGGGGTAGAAAGCCAATGTGCATAATTGTATCAATAGAACAAGATGCGACTCTATGGGCGCAGCCATTTTTATTTCTCATCTCACTCGGGACTATTTATAATAACCATTTTCTGTTTCACATTGTTATTGTTCAATTCACAAGCTGGTGGATCAGACAATAACAAAGTGAAATGGAAAATGGTTGTTATAAATACTCCCGAGTGAGATGAAAAATAACCTGTCTTCGCCCATAGAGTCGCATCTCAAGCCTATTGACAAGCATTCTACCCCACTCCAATTCATTGGGCCAGCCTCATATCGCTAGTGTCGTTTTGACTTTTGACACGTGTGACATCGGCACGTTCATTGGTTGAAGATAAATTCAAAACAATCTGATCCAAGCGTTACTCTCGTCCACTCCTTCTTTTTGTTTTAATACTGATAACAGAAAGAGAAAACGATTAACAATTTCTATTTCGCCTCTTTCATTCATGACAAGTGAAGTGTCAGTATTGACAAGTGATAATTTTTTGATATTTTTTCTGTTACAAAATTCATACCATTTATTTTTTTTTTAATTTGGTGTTATCGACTACTAAGGCGATAAGCCTCGTGTTCTGTGTAGGATTTGTTACTGTTTCCCAGCGCCACTTTAGGAACAGCACTGATAATTAGAACCCAACAGTGAATGGTCGGGTGAAGAATGCTACCAAGGCATCAGAATTAATTTTAAATAATTAAATAAAAAAAATCCCGGCAAACGGTGGAATTCGAACCTGGGACCCTTGGATCCACAGGCAGAGACTCTACCACTGAGCCACCCATCCCTTCATACCATTTATTAATATTAATTTTGTTACAACCATATTTATTGTGATTTGTGTTGTTGTCTTAAGGGCTTACTTATTTAATATGAAAAGCAAACGTACAACAAACTCAAAAAAAGAAGGGATTCCTATGGCTGACATCCAAGGGTCCGCACCCCAGATAATACTTTTCCAGTGGGAAAAGCCTTGAAAATTCAAGTATAACAATTTTCTGTTACTGTTTTCCTTTCTTTTAATGTAGGTGCCAATTATCACGTAAGTTTGCAATAATTTTTCATATTTTCAGTTATTAACCTCTAATATTCTAATTTTACGAAGATCTTATGCTTTCCTATGTACACTATTCAAGGAGGGAGTCCTCTGACTATCATCCAAGCCCTAGATAATAGTTTTCCAGTTGGAACAGTTGGAATTCAAGTATAATAATGTTCTGTTTCAGTTTTACTAATTTTTTGATGCAGGTGTCCATTTAAAGTACAAATTTTTATTTCACTTGTTGACATTAGCATTTATATACGGTATCGGCTATTGAACCCTTTCCAATACTCTTTGCTAACATCAAAGCGAAAACTAGAGAATTAGCATTAGGGTGAGCAGGAAACAAATAATATGAATGTTATTACCTTATGCGCTGCGTAATATGAACAGGCACACGGCGAGATACATCCCCACGCAGCCAGCTGGCTACGTCAAAATTTCTTTCGTGTTCGCGTTAATGCTAAATTCTTTATTGTTCGTAAACAAAGAATAATATATTTAGTTAAAATCCACAGTCCATAATTTTTTTAACTAAGCGGATAGCTTTGACAAAAAAATTGAATGATCATTTATTGAAAAAACGACTCTCACTTTCCGGGCATTCTCTGTAGCGGCGGAAACGATGTGTTTCCGAAAAATCTGTTTCATAAGATCGATAGGAAATTCTCCGCGCTACAACTTTGTTTTAAATTTTCTACCAAAATGCATGGTTTTTATGTAAAATGCGAAAAACCGCAAAATATATACATTTGCTTCTTTTTGTCGCGCTCTAGCGGCAAAAATATGAAGTTTGGAAAAAATATATAGCAACCTAATTAATAGAAAATCGTTTGTTCTTTAAAAAAAGTTTAGTAAAATTTTTCATGAGAACGCCTCGTTTTTGAGTAAAATACAAAAAATTGGGAAAAAATTCCCAAAAATGTATATATGTATAATACCCTCTTCAGATTATTCTCATCTCTGCGCATAGTGAAATTTTTTCAAAAGAAGTCAAAATATTCATTGTTATCCGGGTCTCTACGTTGTTCTAAAAATGTCGCCTTTAAAACCTAATTCCGGTGGACTTCTTTCCAAAATGCATTTATCATGGCGGTTTATTTGAATATTTATATTTGAATAATAAGGTTATTAAACTAATAATAACTATTAATAAAAGCATACACCTCGAGTCTTACTTACAAAGGGTATGGTATGGATAGTATGGATATCATTTGAAAAACTACAATATTATTAAATTCCAATATGTCTTAAAAGAAGGTATGCAATCATTGTGTCATGAGATAATATATTTACATCATAATATTTACCTTTCTCCTGCTCCTAACCACATAGGTTCTTCAGTAGTCAAGGAAACGCCTACGTAAGCAAATGCACCTTGACCGTTAGGTAAAGTTCTAGTTGCGAAATACGTTCGACCTTGCCTTGGAGACGCATTGGATTCGTCCAATTCATTGGTGTCTATTACGGTGTCGTTTAACCAATCAGGAGGCTAGAATTTTAAAATGTCTTCTTCACGATAACTCATAACGATATATTACATAATTGCACATTGTTACCATCCTAATGTCATTTGTGACAATTACTTATAACTTTTGTTGCATGTTTTATTTTTCTGTATTTATTGCGTTCGTTTCGTTTTTATATAGTATTAATTGAAAGACCTTGAGAACATAATAGTATCTTGTGTTTTACGAGATTGTATACGTCTAGATCGTTGAATTTTTAGTTTACTAAAAGTTGCAACCAACACAAATTATGAATACGGCCCTAAGGCGCGCTTACCAAGTGGACTGTCTTCTTTCAGTGCTAGCTACAAATATTTCCATACTGACAATGAAATCCCAACACTTCCTTAGAGTTATTTTTATTATTATTTTATTATTATGTAATCATCTTTGGTAAGATATTATTTGTGTAACTGTGCACCACAGCCCAAGGCCGGGTGATTCGTTCTTTGCCATGTGAATAGTTCAACGGTTGCTAGACACATGGAGGAAGGATTATTAGCTAGACAACTGTTTCTTTCGTGAAGATAGATGTATATTACGTGCCATTATTGGCCTTGAGTGTTTCGCGCTGATGAAAGTCGGTGGAGGCGATTATTGTCACGTACACGTTTGTTTACAGATGCTCACAATGAATACCTGGATTCGCGAGCACAGGACCATCTTTTGATATGTTTCAAACGGATGATGGCAATCTTTAGTTTGTTGAAATGCCATATACCAACCTTCTACAGAATTATTTGTTCGGGGTAAATCACTGTTTACTCTGTTATACATGTTCCACACATTAATAGGGAATAATGGAACTGACCTACGGTTTCGTCTCATTCTTCCGATATAAGTATTTTCCCAATAATTGATTAAATTATCCATTTCATCTGGGCATATATCGGTTAAAGTTTTAAATGCAATTATGACATCGTCAGGAGGTATGAAACTTAATCCTAGTAGCATTTGTACGCACCGTCGCAGATTATCATTTGTTCGGTATAGTTCTGTTAAATGAAATTCTTGAACTTTACGCCATAAATTTTGACCCAAATGGAATAAACATCTACTCGCTTGAAGACTGGATAATACTTGTGAAACAGCATTTTGAATTGCCTTTTCGAAGTCACATAATACACTGGTGATGGGCGTATGTGTTCTTGCAATTCCAAATTTTTTTGAAAAATACGGACATTTATCTCCTCACGTTTATGTTGTAGTAATATGTATACTAGCGAAAAAGTACTATTGTCGATTAACCCATGTATCGTAAATACTTGATAAAATATTTCAGGTGAAACTTTGAACGTTCCATCAACAAACCAATGACGATGTTGTTGGAGAAGTCGAAGATTTTCTACTGTACCAAACATTAGTATACGGTTAGGGTCGTCGTTACCAGAATCCCATAATAAGAAATTTTCATTTCTCGTAGTTGTTCTCAATGCAGCTGGAATGGCAATATCTCCAACATTCCTTGGATTTGGATATGAGTGAACACTTTGTCGTATACATTCAACGTTTCTTTGTTATGCACAATATTTAGACTATTTGTAGCTTGTTGAATAATTTGTCTCGGTCTTTCTACAGTAGTAGATGCCAGGTGTCTTATTTTATCTACGCATTTTAATGCTTCATTTTTAGCTGGATTGGGTGCATGAGAATGTTCAGTTAAAACAACGATATCATTAACTAATACTTTTATTCGACCTCGGCAATTCTTTTGAGGACATCTCCATGATTCCGAATTGTCCATGTTCTTGCGAGCTTGTCGGCAACAGTACCCATTTCTCAACAAAACTTCTTTCTTTTTTTGAGATGCTATTTTCTCCATATTTCACAGATTGTTATAACGTCTTATTATGAAACAAAACTAACAGAATAATGTTCAAACGAATAAATAAGTAGGCATGTCAGAAGTGGGGATGCAAATCTGCCAAATTATGACGGGTTAAGTATTGGGCTGACCTACCTTATTTTTTCTTATGTAAATAATCTGCTTTAAGTGATATAAACATTAGTATTAAATTAAGATGCGCCCATCGATTTCCAAATTATCTTAAGTACAATCAAATTGGATGCAAAACATTTAATTAGGGTAATAAGGAATACCGCAGGTATTTCCTTTTCTATTGCTGTGATTACTAAGTACCTAAAAAGTATGTCGATTTCCAAATTATTAACAGTTTATCTCTTAAGTACAATCAAATTGGATGACAAAGTGACAAAACACTTCAAAATATTTCAATAGGGTAATAAGGAATAGCGCAGGTAGTTTCTGTTCTATTGCTGTGATTACTAAATATACCTAAAAAGTCTGTCAGTGAATTTAATCAATTAAAATAAAGCAAAGGTTAACATTTTGTTGAGGCGTTTATAATTTATAATATATTATAATTTTTAATCAATAAATCATTTAATAAAATACATTCTATATTTTATTTTCTATAATCCAAATCGTCTGATTCGTGTAAAACTAATGCACCACAAATGTAAATGTAATTGTATTTCTTAAAGATACAAAAAAAAATATTAATAAAAATTATTTAGAATTACGTTACGTTAAACAAGCACCACAAATGTGAATGTAATTGCAATTATTAAAGATACAACAAAAAAAAATATTAAAAAAATTATTTAGAATAGATAGAGCTATTAATTCTATTCAGCATAAATTTAATTGTGGGGTAGATCGCATAGGATTTATGGTATACGGAATAAATTAACTTACTTTTTTTCATCTAATATATTTAGATTCAAATGAAACGGTTATCGTGAGCAAAGAAGGCTCAACTTTCGTTAAGCCGAAATCTGTTATGAAAAAACTGTTGTCATGATAACAATTGTGATGGCTATAAGTAAACAAAAACCCTAATCTCAAGCCGGCTACGGACGATGAGCGATAATATAATATATATTATAGCTCACATATTATAAAAATATCGCATTGCATTAAATAGTGCAAGTAGCCGCGCATTAATGCTATAATATATATCTATATCCCAGCGATGCCGGGCGATATATTTAAATGCTTTCCGAGTGATTTTTAGGATATATATTTCCCCCTCTTGTGTCGCTCTGCCCGCCAAGAAAGCAAACCGACGTTGTTTACATGTTTGTTTTGAATATGATTTAATAAAAAGATTTTGTAGGTTTGTAAAATTAGTTGCTATTTCTACACAAATTTGTAATTTTTATGTATTAATATATTTTTTTTCTAAACTCTTTAGTTTTTTAGTAAAAGTCACTTTCCTATAACTAAGTATAATCTACCTATATACATATCTTAAAGTAACTGCCAGTGGCTCTAAGGAACTAATGCTTTTCGGCGTATTTTCTATATAATTTTTTATTAAATTCATAAAATTCAGTTCAGTTTATTCGAAAATAATTTGTAAATTTTTTGTCACTTAATTCGTTAAAAAGTGTAAATTCTTCTCGTTCTTTTCGGTATTTGATATGATAAGATAACCAGAATCTTGATGTTTCCTTTTGGTTACTAACCCTAATTGCTAATAATAATACATTGTCGCTTTCAGCATCTAATTCATCTTCTGATGAGCTATCGCCATTTTAGCAACTACACTATATAGTTCACTGGATTAGCCTACTATATTGAAAAATTAAAAATATATATATTATTATTCTCGTCCACTGCAGTAATAATATAATATTATAGCTCATTGCCGAGCTATAATATATATTATATTATCGCTTATCGTCCGTAGCTGGCTTCAAGGTGAGGAAATGCCTAGTTGCCAAGTTGTAGATGATTGCGGTTTTTGTTTAATTTCATTTAGCTGAAATCACTTATGCAAAAAATATTGCCATGGGCACGCTTGTCTTGTTACCGACTAAACAAAAACCCAAATCTCGTGGAGGGAAAATACATTGTTCCCAAATTATAGATCATTTAATGTTCACTTTAGTTTATCCGAAATCAGTTATGGAAAACATGTTGCCCTGGAAACGCTTATCATGTCAACGACTAAACAAAAACCCAAATCTCGTAGTGAGGAAATGCGTAGTTGCCAAGTAGTGGTTACTAGGTGGGTGGAACGAGCGTAGCATGATCTTATGATATAGGTGGAAAAAGGGCGCGTCCAGTCGACGTTTCGAAATTCGCGCGCTAAACTCAAGTGAAAATTAAATGATCTGTAACTTGCCAACTATGCATTTCCTTACAACGGGTTTTGGGTTTTGTTTAGTCGTTATCATGCCTCTATGGCAACAGTTTTTCTGTAAATGAATACAGCTAAATTAAATCATCTGTACCTTGGCAACCACGCATTTCCTCACCACAGGATTTGGTTTTTTGTTTAGTCGTTACTATGTCAAGCGTTCCCATGGCAACAGTTTGATCATAAATGATTTCGTCAAAACTAAAGTGAACACTAAATGATCCATAACTTGGCAACTATGCATTTCCTCACTACGAGATTTGGGTTTTTGTTTACTAGTTACCATGGCAACGGTAGCCATGGCAACAATTTTTACGTAACTGATTTCGGCTAAACGAAATTTGACCCCAAAAGAAAATTAACTCGGTGAACTATATTTTTGAACTCTTTTTTTTTTGTTTCTAAACATTAATATTATTTGTTAAACAAAATAAAAACGGACATAAACGTTTTAGGGCGAATGAACTGGAGTGGGATAGAATGCTAATTTGCATGTTGTATCAATAGGACTAGGTGCGGCTTTATGGGCGCAGCCATTTTTATTGTTCATCTCACTCGAGAGTATTTATAAATTCCATTTTTTTTTTCAAATTGTTATTGTTCAGTCCACAATCTGGTGGACCAGATAATAACAATGAGAAAAGAAAATGGTTATTAAAAATACTCTCGAGTGAGATGAAAAATAATATGGTTGCACCTATAGAGTCGCATCTCATTAGGCCTAATTAGGCCTAATTAGGCATTCCAACGACCTGTCAAACAATATGTGCCAGTGGGAAATTCTTGTATATCTAAGGGGGTAGCGACATAGTCTTGCAACTTGGACGCTATTTTTATTCGAAGTAGTAGTCGCCAAGCCTGCCAATTCATGAAGAAATGTATAGGTAGGTTTTTTAAATATTATTTTTATTGTGTTTGACATAAAATATTTAAATGTAATCCATTATTCATGATTATACGTAAAGTAGATAGAATACACCGTATGTCGCCAGCCTTAGATATACCAAACCTTCCCACTGGCAATTCATTTGTTTGGAATGCCTAATAGACAAGCATTCTACCAACATACTTTGATTACTATACGAGGCAAGAGAGAGGTCCGACACGCCCAACATAGGGCGCGGCCATTTTGAACCCTGTGACACAGTTTACAGCTAAAGAATCAGATGGCTCACTCTGCGTCGGCACTTTTGATCTCAATGTTTCAGTTTATACACTGTGCAACTCGGATAATACAATAAATGACAACCGCCTATAATAAAACAGCAGTCTTCTGCGTATCCTGAATTTGTATCCCTGGAGTGGATGTTATTTTGGAACTTTCAACTGGTCCGAGTGAGCTAACTGATTCTTTAGCAATAAACTGTGACTTCAAAAATAATATTCACTGACACTGACAGCAGCAAGCAAAATATCAGGTGCGTTTTAATCATCCGCTTCTGCTTCCGGAATTGTCGGTTTAGTCGCCAAGATGTAGGCAATACGTAATAAGGGTTCAAAATGGCGGAGTTTTCTATCTCCTTTTAAAAGGCACTCAGAAAGCTGCGCAGTGCGACCATTCTCCGTATAGTAAAAGAAAATCAAAGTATGTGGATTCTACCCCACTCCAGTTCATTGGGTTAGCCCATTGATCTGGCAACCTAGGGATACGACATGCGTAAACGAAAAGTGGGACCGGTCCGCCATTACTGTGAGTGCAAATTGTCAAATTTTATAGGTTATATTTTTAGTGTCATTTGTGTAATTAAATTTGAATTTAATTTGTGTTTGAGCAAATTTTGAGTGTTAAAAACTTATAAAGTATATAATGCCTTGCTGTGTTATACGTTCCTGCTCCAGCGATAGACGTTTTTGTGAAAAATCGACTGGAATAACGTTTCATAGGTTAGTATCAAAATTATAAATATTATACAGGACAGTATTATGACAGGTTTGTATAAAATGTGTAAAAGTATACTTTAAAAATGCAAAAAAAATCATCTATCAACTCTTGGGCCCACCTATATTGGAATAAATACTTTTTCATACGAAATAATATTTATAGATTTCCAAAAAATCCTGAAAAACGTAGCGCGTGAAGAATACAGTTTGTCAAGAAGCATAATTGGGAACCTTCTAAATTCAGTTGTATATGTTCCAAGCATTTTCTTGAGAAGTACATTAATCGTTCGCTATTTCGTTTATCAGATTTATAGGCATTTTATATTCTTATTTCTATTTAAATATAACCTATATTTGCGGTCCTTCCACCAATTTTATTTATTAGTTCTACAGCTGATTGAAAAGTAGAGCTTCATGTTTTGTGTATGCTTGAGTATTGTTTGTTTTATTATAGTTAATTTAAAACAATATTAATATACCTTTTTACTTACCTATAATTTGTTTCAGATTAGTGCGTTTAAAGGAATTGGTGAAAATGAAACGATTCGCCAGCTTTGGGGATGTGCCAGTAAAAGTGACATCGAAGTTATTCAACGTTTCCAGAATAAAGTATTAAGGAACATGGTACTGCCACAATACTGATTGATCTTCATAGGAACCTTAAAGTGGAGACTGTTGAAAATACAATACAAACATTTGCCAGTAGTCACCAACAACAACTGCTCCAACATGGAAACCTCGAGATTATCCAGCTCCTCAACAATGCCAATCTAATAAGAAGACTCAAGAGAATCAAGCCTTTTGAGTTAGTTCAGTGATGTTAAAGCAGAGTATAGTGCAGTTAAGTGATTTAGACTCTAAGGTATATTAGAGAGTAGAATATCGGTTTGTGAATTTTTTCATCCCCTGATAAGTTAGAATAAAATTTCTAATTGATCTTAATGATTAGGTTGTAATAATCGTAAATGTTTCTTTACTTGGGGCATTTTAAAAAAAAACTGTTTCAAATTAGTGCATTTAAAGGACTTGGAAATGAAGTGATTCGCCTTTATATTTTATGAAATAATGTTTAAAAATTATTTGTTTGTTTTAAGAATCAATGTTTGAATTTTGTGTATTTTAAATAGATATGTATATTTATATGTCTTTTTTTAGTCTAATATTATTTAAAAAAAAAGGTAGAATTTCTGAAATATTACTATTTAATATCTCTAAAAGATTTCTAATTTTTATTTCAGAAATAATACTGTGAAATATTATATTTACAGGATATTTTTTCGTTTCAGGCACATTTCAGAAATGTTTCAATGTAATATTTTTGAAATATTTTCGAAATATGTTTGTGCTGTATTGGAAAGTCCTCAAGAATAAATTAATATCGAACAATGCATTAAGATGATGCTTCTCATTCTTTTGTTCCTAGAATAATATCTGCTAATCGACTTAACATATCTCTCCCATAGAATTTAGTAGTTATGTTTAGATTTTTCATTAATTATTATTAATAATTAATATGTACATATTTTTAATTAATTTACCTATTATTATTTAGGATTTTATTATTATTTAATAACTGTAATATGAATTATTGTATTGTTTTAATGGGCTCTGGCCCATACATAAATAATATACCTCCATTCAAAAATAAAAAAGTATTTTCTGTAGTACGAATTTGAACACTAATAAAGTCAGTTAAAAAATAGTTTTTAAGACACTTTAACATTTAAACATTATAAATTCATAATTATATTTAATTTTGTTGATATTAAAATGTTATTGACCTGTTTATTTAGTAATAATACCACGAGTGCTATCAATATAAGCATGGCTTCGCTGATTTACTGAATGTCTTGCATGAAGATATACACCTTTCAGTCTAAATCTACAAAAGTACCAAGACCAAGTAAGATTAATCCACATTTTGATTTCCTGAATAGTGCATCTACCTACACAGAGATTGCTTATTAGCCATTTTCCGCGAGCCTTGCATTAAGTTTCGTATCTGATCATCGAGCTTTTAGTGTATGAACATTTGTTCTTAATTTCAAGAAAGCTGTTAATTAAAGTAAGGTTAGATTACTTAACATTTGCGACCTTGTACTTTCCGATTTAAAGACAGAAGCATTGGGCTCATAGAAAAACAAAAAACTAAATATTGGGCTATTTATGTGCCCTAGTGCAAACGTGTGACGACTGATCCAATAAATCGAACTCTGTTTACTTTTGTCGCTTATGTCAACCAAAAATGTACTATTTATTTTTTCTGTGAATGATTTCGACGCTTTAGGGTTAATTCCACCAGTGTGTTAAAGTTTAAACTATTAATTGAGGATTAAAATTACATTTTATGTAAAAATGTCATTTTAAACTTCGTTAAACCCAATCGGCCCCAAGTTAGTTATATCATGGTCATTGATTAGTTGCAATTTTGTAAATAATATATTCTCCTGCGCTTAATAGCCACTTGAGTGATAATTAAATCAGTTATATTTTATTTCTTTCATTTACTTTATTCGGCACCTTTCGGCTGAAAACCGGGCATATTTAAGCTTTTAAACCCCCTTCTTTTATAACATCGGCCTTCCACTACCTTTTAAGTCAATGTCAATAAAAAGGAAATTTATTTTTTTATAGTTGAAATAATGATATTTAACCAGAAATAGTACAATAAAAACTTGTAATCCGGTTCTGCTCTTCCGCCATTTTAGTGAGTGCAAAAGCCACGCCTACCGGTCCCACTTTTGTATATCAAAAATAATACATATGACGTATCCTTACGTTGCCTTATCAATGGGTTAGCCATATCTTAACTGTCAGTTCCCACTTGTCAATATTTTGAAAGCAAATGAATGATAAATAAGGTACTTTAGCAGGTTTATGTTGCTTATAGGTACCCTAAAACTTTAAAAAATATATTTTAGCAATAAAATCAATAAACTTACTTCAATGGATGTCGGTATTGGTTCAAAAACTTCGAAAGCATTCATAATATCAACATCAATTGGTGATTCTGTAAAAGGTTTCTCCAAAACCCCGTTTTGCATGCCTACTAATAAGTTTGCCAAATACATGTTTCTACATCTCTTAATCTGAATATTGTCACAGGGTTCTGCTATCAATTTATACAGCCACATCTAGTATATACAAATGTAATAAGTATATTTTAAATTGTGATAAAATTATTTTATTATACCATGTATATCAATCAATTCTGGTTTCTCATCAGGTACAGAAGCTTTTTTAGATTATTACATTTCCTATCTTTATTTGAAACGGTTTATACAAAAATTATTTTTGGGCGTTTTTAGGTAAGTATATACTGTTAAAAAAATGTACCTTGGCTCTTTTTGCAATATCCGGGCTTTGGATTCGTTTTAAAAATGTATCTGTAAAGTTTAAATAAAATAAAAAATCTTCATCCAATCTCGCATCTTGTTCCATTTTCACTAAAATTTTTGATTCACGAAATAGGTATGTATAACTAAGACCTACGAAATACTAGTTTGACACTTTTCTTTATAGTCATTGCAATGAAATTTCCGTTGAACATCATCAATAATGAAAATTGATTATCAAATTGAACAGATAAATCATTAGGCGATTTTAAATCAGATACTTATGTCTTGAATATGATTAACTACACTGATATAAATCAAAAACAATGACGTCATATTGAATATTGTCTTGAAACATGACTACTGGAGTGCGTTTAGAAACCTCGCACGGCGCGTCTGACCGCATACATTAGAATAGGGCCCAGACGCGCCGTGCGTGGTTTCTAAACGCACTCCAGTATAATCGTGGTCAGAGCTCTGCGGTCATCGGTATGAAATGTCAAATGAAATGACAAATGTAAAACATTTACTTTTTAATTATTAAATTGTTGTTTGGTTGTGTTTGAAGTTTTGTGTTATTTGTAAATTCGAGAGTATAGGCACAGGATAAAGAACAATACAGAAAAGAAACATAGGGCTAAAACAGGAACCTAGCAACCGAAGCCACACCTTTAATGGTGGAGCATTGTCAAAATTGAACCGTAGATTTGTTACTCGTTCGAAGTGCAACAGTGCACACTTTTATAGCAGATGAACGAAGCTGTCATTGCTGTCGCTGTTAGAAACTTAGATAATATCAGATAGGCCACCACTGCATAAAGTTATACAAATGGCGCGTTTGAGAATCCACATCGGATGCATTTTTTACATCTCGAGCGTTTTTTTATCCACATCGGACACATCTGTCCTATTACATTTACGTATACTGAATCACGTGATCAAAGATTTACTACATCTCAGATGTATCCGATGTGGATTCTCAAACGCGGCAAATATTAATGTCGCTATCATATAATCAGTATCTCTCTTTCTAATGAAGGCTTTCTCACTCGTTTTAGAATTCTCAGCAGTAGCGTACCGTAAGACAATTTCGCTGGGTCATTTTAAATGCGAAAATGTTGACCAAGTAGAATATAAAATAAAATGTTTTAAAAGGTAGGTAGGTGCAATTGTAATGGAGTGAAAACAAAATATGACTTTTTTGTTATGAATATAATATTAATAATTACTTTTAACACCACAACACGAACAAATTTAAATTAAACACTGGAATAATTGTATGAGAAAAGCTTTGTCAAACTGACAAATACAAACAAAGAGATAGAGATATTAATCTATTTCTCTCTAATTAGAATTCTCGACCATATTATCATGGCGACACAAACATTGTTTACTGTCCTCTCTTTACTACTTTTACTTACTCTGAGGTTAGAAAATCAATATTTTTTTTCACGTCGTATCTTTATTTGTCGTTTTGGATTTTTGGTATATTCTGATAACTTTTACGTTTTTTTAGTGGTTTATTTTTAGTTTTTGTTGATGTTTTTAATTGTGGAGTTGTTAATTTAAGACTTTATTGTACGTATTAAGATAAGGTTTATAAACAATGCCGCGTCAAAGAGGAGGAGGATATACTTGTATTTATCGTGCATGTACCTCAAGAACAGGTGGCAAAGAGGGATTCTTCACTCTTGTGAAAGATCCAGTGGGGTAGGTATGAAACCTTGAGGGTGAAATAGGAATTGACCTTGCCATAACAATGATTGTATGTTTTTTTTAGACTTGAATTGTGGCTTAAGGCAGCAAATAGAGAATACTTATTGGGAAAGGGTGTGAACGCTTAAGTAAAAATTACAAAATTTGTGAACTACACTTCCAGGATAAATTCGTTTAACAGTCAGGAACAAGAAAACGATTATTTGCAAATGTATTCCCAACAGTATTTCTCCATTCAGAACCTACGAAAAGAGTCACAGTTTTGCAAGGTAAATAAATACAATTTATAGTTAAATGTTACAAAAAGTTTGCTACTCGTCTTGTCATTTTTTTACATTATATTTATTAGTAGTTTAAAAAATAAAATGATAAGTACTAATAATCTTAGAATATTAACCCATACATTCCATTTTGTAGAACTACCTCGGAGGTAAACTGCACTATGTCGACATACAACAACTTATGCAAATTAAAATAAAGTAGTTTTAGTAGTTAGGTTAGTAAAAAATATAAATATTGTGACAATAAATGGGTGTCTAAATGCATATCTAGTTGAAATTAAATAATTTAACAATATTCAATCTGCTGTACTAAAAAGTACTAAAAACACTAGTTGATCTGATAAAAATTTGGTTTCTTTCTTTTTTTAGAGGAATTTATTGTTTATGGCGAAGAAAGCAAAGACAACTTGTGTCTACCCTCAACTTCAGCAGAAGTATAATTTATTGAACAAGTGCATAGTCAACCATCTGTTTCTCTACCTTGTGGAACAGCACAAATTTAAACGGGTAATTTGTTATCATCAAACACTCCAAGAAAGCAGAGACTGCGACTGAAGATAGCAACGTAGAGAAAACGTTTGTTTGGTGCAAAAAGAAGAAAAATAATTACTCATTATTTAATATTTTTTATAAGTACCATTTATATAATTATTCTATATTTTTGTTGTATATTAGGATATAGCTATTTTAATAAAGCTATGTATTATAAATTAGGCTTGCTCTATAAATCTGTGTAAACAATTTTAATTATTTTAATTTTCAAACAATTCTATTTTAATAAAATACATGCACTAGATTATAAACATATCAGTTTCATAAATACACGTTTATTTATTTATTTATTTATTTTTTTATTCATAAAATCCCTAAAATACGCTTTAGCTAATGATTTTTTAACAATTATCCCAATTGATTTATACTTATTGATCATAAATGACTAGTGAGATTTGTGGCACAATATTAATAGTTCATTATGACAGGGTAAAATAAACTATTGTTTAAAACTTTATAATTTTTATTTTTGAAACCTCTGTCATGCAAATTTTCATAAAATATGACATCATAATTATATAAAAGAGAAATGTAGTTTTCGCAGTGTAGGTTCAGTGAATAGCTACGTTCGCGTGTACTGTGAATACTTACGTTTTCTCAGAGTATTTCTGTGGTGGAACTCAAGGTTAAATATTTCTATCCCTTCAACTTCAAAGTTCCGACCATTACTTTCTTTTCTGTATTGTTATTTCTTCTGTGGTATAGGTATTCGCGATTCAAGCTAAGTGATAGGATTCGGTTTTTGGCTTTCGAAGTGTAAACATTGTTCGCCGGCTGAAAATTTTCGAAGGTATTTATATTTACAAGGGTTTTACTAATATTTCCTTTGTTATTTATTACCTATCTAATTCCTTATTGTATAAATCCTTTTAAAGTTTAGTTTAACTATTAATCAGGTTCCCCCCAACCTAATAATGGGGGACTTGGAGGATCCCCCTCCCCCCGACCCTGCTGAAACTATTGAATCTATCTTAAAATCAAACCAAAAAATTCAAAAAAACCTTTATTCTAACTCTGACTCCGGTCCTTATGAAGTCTATGTTCAGGGAAATGACAAAAATGTAGGTAATTTACACATAATGAGCATTGCCAAAACAATTTTTGATTTAAAAATGAAACAGGTGGTCGAGATTACTCGTAAAGGTAAAAACCGCATAGGTGTCATTTTTTCTGATCTTTCTTCAGCAAACAACTTTATCAATGATAAAAAATGGGAAACATTAAACTATGATGTTTTTATTCCTACTCATATTTCATGTAAAGGAATAATTAAAAATGTATTTAAACAATTTTCTGACGATGAAATTAAAGATTCCATTGATACCCAATTGGCGTTTTGCAAAGTCCTTAATATTAAAAGATTAAATAGAAGAGTTGTTGAGGAAGGAAAAGAGGTTGTGTATGCCCCAACTGGTACTGTATGTATAACTTTTTCTGGAAAAAATATCCCCAAAGAAATCTTAATATATGGTCTTCCTACAAAAGTGACTCCTTATGTCAGCCTTGTCTTGTTATGCCAAAGTTGTTTATTATATGGTCATAGCTCTAACCAATGTAAAGGAACTGCTAAATGTAAGAAATGTGGCAAATTAAGTCATGCAGAAGATACCCCTTGCAACTCATTTTGCATTCATTGCAAAAGTGGAGATAACACTTCTAAAGACAAAAATTGTTTAGAATTTCAGAGACAGAAAGATATTAAATTTCTAATGTCGTTCTCCAATATCTCATTTTTTGATGCTAATCAACAGATCCCTAAGAATATAAATAATAACCCTGTTCCATTAAATAATTAAAATTTTCCTCCTTTGATCAAACAATCAAAGAAAAATAACCAAATTCCTGTTCATGAGAGAAGATCTACTATTATGAACTCGTCAAATAACTTCCCATCATACAGTCAGACAATAAAATCATCTGTTAAAAGGAGAAGACCCCATGATAGTGGATATGATAGGAAATCTCATGAATCCCAACTAATTAATTCATCAGGTAGAGTTTCCTACTCACCCAATAAATCACAATTTCAATCTTCTTCTAACTACTCTCGCCAAGAAGAAGAAAATCAAAAGCAGTTAGACTTCAATCAAGCAATTTTAAAGCTTACTCCTCAACATAGGGATTTAGTGTTAGCTTTTATTGGTAAACTTATAAATAGCCTATATTCTCCCCCTCAAAGTGTATCACAAAATTTAGAAAACGTAGCCTCTACATCGAAAAACATATCTCAAACGTATTCTCAATCAGAAAGGATGTCTTGTTCCGAGGATTCGGAATAAGTCATCCTTTCCACCCAAATTGTTTTTTTTTCGCATTCACCCCATTATCCATTATCCAATGGAATATTAGATCTTATAATGTTAACGTTGATAACTTAAAAATATTGATTAGGGATTATAATCCGGATATCATTCTGTTGAATGAAACTTGGTTAAATAATAATTATAATGTCAGATGTAAAGGATTCCAAATAATTAGAGAAGATAGAGAGGATGGGTATGGTGGTATTGCCATTCTCATCAAGAATGGTATTGAATTTCAATTATTTCCAGTTAATACGAATTTTGGACATAATGTCCAGATTCAATGTATATTTTTACCTAAATTTGACCTGAATATTATTAATATATATAGTGCCAAAGGAAACTTAATTTCTAAACAAGGCTGGGTTGAGATTATTCAATCTGTTAATACATCCTTAATTATAATGGGTGACATGAATTGTAATCATCAAGCCTGGGGCAGCTCTTCTAATAGTGTTAATGCCAATAATAT